ATATGTTTGTAACAATGAGTTTTCTGTTATATTGGCGATATTACGTCTTTTACACAGTTTGTAATAATTACAATCGTAGCTGTAACTGTAACGTTTGGATCATTAAAAAGCGATTATCACATTATCAGGCATTCTCACATAAACGATTAAATTCTGCTATAATGTTTTGAATATTTACAAGTCTCTGATTTTCGAAAATTCTAGAATTTATTCTTAACATAATATCGTTATTTTCCTCTGCGATCTTTTCAGTACTAAAAATATGCTTTTTTTGTGTTAAACTAATATAATATGGAGTTTGTATACATTTAACGTAATTATTAACTAAACTTTATTAATATTCATTAAATGACATTCTAACAGTTTCCTTGTGAGATGTATTTAAAGAGCGAATAGCGGCCTTTTTAGATATCTACTCAGATACTTAATGTTTAAATTTAACGAAAACGTTTGCTTATTAAAAATTTTGTGCTGGAGATATACAGAGATTTTGTTATATAATTTATAGAAATGCATTCTTTATCTTCAAAATTCCAATTACATTTTACTCGACTGTTTCGGTCGTGATATAAACTCGGAATGAAAGATTGATCGTCGCTAAACACGTTCAAATGAGTCCTGAAAACAATAAACTATTAAAATATACTTGAGCGGTTATCGCAGCTTTAAAACTTTTCTAGAAAGTTACTCTTTAAAAAGAGAATTGATTTCCAGAATAGTAAGTATAACTTTGATACTCGTTTTTTTGGGCCAAATCTCAAAGAACGGAAACCAAACTAATAAACTAATACGTAATTTAAACGCTTAATTGGGACACGTTTTCGCTAAATTGGGGCAGTAGCAGAAAAGGAATATAGCAGTTTTTGATAAACAGTATTTTAGGGTTCTTCCGAAAATAATGCTATCTTACGTTCACTAATGTGTAGGGTTAACGCAGGCGTGGCCAACAGTTTTTGCCCCCCGGGCCGTATTAGAGAAAACTTTTTCACGGGCCGAACGAAATACTGTATTAAAATTTAAAAATGTTAAATACAAAAACGATTTCTTTAAGTAAATAAATAGAGAGGTTGCTGCCGAAGTTTTTATTTTTAAAACGTGAACTTCGAACGTCGAGCGCCGCTTACAAGTTAACGGCGCTCGACGTTCGAAGTTCACGTTTTACGGATGAAAACTTTGGCCACAACCTCTCTAATATTTAAATACAGTAGAGCCTCGATTATCCGACCCCCGATTAACCGACACCTCGGTTAACCTACCGTCCTAGTCGGCAAATTTCAAATGTCCGCTAATGATGTGGCGCTACAATATTTGGCTATGTCTTGCTACTTTAATATTATTTTTACGTGTTTTAGCTGGCAACACTCATTCGACCATGAAAGGGAGCCAGTATTTAAACGAGGCTTAATTTTCTAATTTTTAACGCTACAATAGCGACGATTATTATTTTAAAAAATTTTTGTTAGGCTTAACATCGATGAAAATTCAACGCGAAGTAGGTTAATAGCGATATACTAATTACATGGGATATAATAATATACTGCACTAATAATGGATTTTTTCATATTTTCGGTTATCCGACTTTTCAATTATCCGACCAACCCCAGTCCCCAATTGAGTCGGATAATCGAGGCTCTACTGTATATGAGTATTATATTTCTAGCAAAGCACACGAATTACGAAGTTAAATTGAATATCACCTGTATATCTTGAATTACTGTCTAACATACATTATTTTATGATAAATATTAATATTTTAAATCTATCATTTTTTTTATTCTGGCACTATCACTCAGACGAGTACAAAAGTTGTAAATCTCTACAACGGATTTTTTTTTAAATAAAGAAGTATCGCGAATCCATTCGACCAATTATTGGAAGTTAAGTAGTTAATATTGAAAGATTAATCGTGGGGCCGCATAAATTTATTAAGCGGACCGTATGTTGGCCATGCCAGGGCTAAAAATTGGTAAAGACAAGCAATTTTGTCTTTCTCTTGAGCTGTTCGGTTTTTCCGGAAGGGATCATCATAGCGGAACGTATCACACCAGGTTCTCGTCTGAGAAAAACTTGAATTCGAGCTCCTGCCATTGACACTGTTTGCTGTAGTGGCATAATTCAGAACTAATTGCTAATATATAAGTTAATAGAGAGGTTGCGGCCGATGTTTTCATCGCGAAAACGTGTACGTCAGACGTTCAGCGCCGCCTTCCTGTAAGCCTAGATGTTTGACAATGGTAACTAAAACGTCAGTGGAATCATTCTCGACGTTCCAAACGCCAATGTGCAACTTCTAGGCTTACAGGAAGGTGGTGCTGAACATCTGATGTACACGTTTTCGCAATGGAAACGTCGGCCGCAACCTCTCTAATAATTTTACAAGTCTAATTGTCTAATTACAGTCGCTATTCGAAAATAGTCGTATGAATTCTTTTATCTTTTGCTGAATAAAACTCCATATTTTTAATAAAGAAATATTTATCCAAATGTAATTATGAAGAAATGTAAACGTTCAGATTTAAACTAAAAGCTTATACATAGAAACAACATATATATTAATTATTTAATAAAACGATTCATTCGATTTTTATAATAAATCAAATTATCGTCTTATTAATTAAATAACCAATAAAAGTTATTCGAATATTCAAAAAATTGTTTTAATAAAATTTATTTAGTAAATAAATTGATACAACAGCCGATCAATAAATAAATAAACAGCTGAGAAACCAGCCATTTTGCTTTTGGCTGGTTATTTGTCATCCTTAAATCTAAAACTTTTATTGACATTTTCATATACGTATATCCAAATATATATATCATTAACGACATATTAAGCATCATAAACAATAAATTAGTGTACTAATGAAGAAAAAATGAAACGTGGTATATACTGTTTAAGAATACAGCACATAGCTGTAACGGAAAATTTAGAATTAATATAGAAGTATCTAACAATAAAATATCTACATATAACATAACGCTGGAAACTGGAATGTTCACATGAAACATTTCCGTTATGATCAGATTTATTGGAACATTAAGAAATTATGTGTAATTATAGCAAAACAATAACTTACAAGGTCTGTATCTGTATAGACCCTAAGATTACATTTGGAATAGTTNGTAGTACTGCTGATGAGGGGCATGCTAGCCCGAAACACGTGTAATATGTGTACAGAAACTATTACTACAGGTGATATAATAAAGAAATTTTGTTTTTTCCTGAACTAACTCTCATTGCTGGTGTTAATCTTTAAACACCAGTATTAAGTCCTATTAATAAGTAATGTCCAAGTAGACAATTAACAATAACATTAGAATTTAAAAAGACAGTAAGGCTTTTACAATTAAGTATAAATATTATTGAATAATTTACTCTATTATGATTCTGTCTCCCTATTATCTACAAGAATAAGTTAAGTTATATCAAGTTAAGCAACTTTACTTAGCCGTATAGTCAACTATTACTTGAAACAAAGGAGAAATATCAAAAGAGTATGACCTTTTGATATTTCTCCTTTGTTTTAAGAGGAAACATGTTTCCATCATTAAACACACTTCTTCTATCTCCATGGATGATCATCCATGCTCACACCATAACATTTCCTTCTCCATGTTTAAGGAAAAGGTTGTGCCAATTTTTATTTTTTTCACAGTCTGAACAACAGAACGAAAGTTAAATTTGCAGTCAACTGAAAATATATTACATGCTTGAAGTACTCGTAATATTTTATTTCCTGTTTCATATTATAGGTAGTCAATGTAAACTTCTACAATAATAAAACGTACTTTTATTTCAATTTAGAGTTATTTTTTCGTACCATTTACATTCTGTATAGATATTTTTCGTATAGACAACTTTTCAATACAATTTTCAAAAAATTCACGAATGACACTTCATCACAAAACATTTAAAATTACCAGAATAGAGTTTTCAAAAATGTATTGGTATTTTTGTAAATGAGTAAACTGTTAATCTGTAAATATCAAATAATTTAAAAACAAAATATAGGTATTTTAAAAAATTTATCGTAGAAAATAGAATTTTTATCATTGTACAATATGTATTGAAAATGAATTTTTATGATATTTAAGATCGTTTTATTTTTTCCATTTAGCTAATCATCACCCTGAAAACACTGCAAACAGAAACTAAAAAGGAAAAGAACGAAAATTTAATCCTGCAAGAATGAAATCCATGATTCACTCTTAAGAATTTGTTTTCTACCCTTGCCTGTGTTATAAGTTTCTATTATTGTGAACGAGTTATGAGGAAAGTATAAAGTTTAAGAGTATAAAGAATAATCATAAGTTTTTTTTTTTTAAAATACAATATTCTTTTTATTTAAATGTAACATATTATACAAGTTTACATTTAACAATAGCAATGAATAATAATATGAATAATACATTCTAATGTTAAACTGATGTGAATTCAAATTTTATAAAATTTATTTTTAATGTATGTTCTTATTACTTTCAGATGTTCTTTTGATGAAATAAAAAGTTTTAAAGAAAATATTGTCCAAGATTATAACAAAATTGTATATTCGATACATTGCTTTATTTATATCAGTGCTATTCTTTAAAAACATAAAAGAAGCGAGAGATCCAACTGCAAGGATATAAAAAGAGAATTCATGAAGATATAAATACACTTGAAGAATGTTTTACAGATATTGTTTACTTTAATATGTTGTCCCTGATTAGTTGTCGTTGAAAATATTAGTAAAATAATATATTTATACTCGAACATAATTATCTCTAAAATTATTTTTGTGTGTTTTGATACAGAAATGTTCGTTTAGATATAGAAATTATTATATAATTAAATACTATTATTAATTTAATTATTATTCTTATATAAGTAACTTTAAGTTATACATGGATAAAATATTATTTAAAAACGATTTTTTTAATTGCAGAGAAATGGAACCAAAAACAATTTTCATGTAAACGCTGTAAGAAGAATTTCAAAACTAAACAAAATTTGCAAAATCATGGAAGAATCCATAAGTTATACATGGATAAAATATTATTTAAAAACAATATTTTTAATTGCAGAGAAATGGAACCAAAAAAACTATTCTTGTAACCACTGTAACAAGAATTTCAAAACTAAGCAAAGTTTGAAAACTCATGAAAAAATCCATACAGGAAGAAAGCCTTACAGCTGTGACGAGTGTAAACAACAATTTTCATTAAAGTCAAACTTAATTAAACACATTCGGGTCCACACTGGAGAAAAGCCTTACAGTTGTGACAAGTGTAAAAAGAAGTTTGCACAAAGCTCAAACTTAAATAAACACCTTCGGATCCACAGTGGAGAGAAGCCTTACAGTTGTGACAAACGTAACAAGAAGTTTACGCAAAAAGGAAGCTTAATTATACACCTTCGGGTACACACTGGAGAAAAGCCTTTTAGTTGTGACGAGTGTAAACAACAGTTTTCAGGAAAGTCAAGCTTAATTAAACACCTTCGGGATCACACTGGAGAAAAGCCTTACAGTTGTGACGAGTGTAAACAGAAATTTACACAAAAGTCAAGCTTAATATTACACCTTAGAACACACACTGGAGAAAAGCCTTACAGTTGTGACGAGTGTAAACAGAAGTTTAAAACTAAACAAAGTTTGCAAATTCATGAAATAACCCATACAGGAGAAAAGCCTTACAGTTGTGAGGAGTGTAAACAGAAGTTTTCAGTAAAGTCAAACTTAATTAAACACCTTCAGACCCACACTGGAGAGAAGCCTTACACTTGTGAGGAGTGTAAACAGAAGTTTGCACGAAAGGAATGCTTAACTCAACACCTTCGGATCCACACTGGAGAAAAACCTTACACTTGTGACGAGTGTAAACAGAAGTTTAGACAGAGGTCAAACTTAATTGCACATATTCGGGTCCACACTGGAGAAAAGCCTTACAGTTGTGACGTCTGTAAGCATAAATTTTCACAAAAGGCAGAATTAATTAAACACCATCGGATTCACACTGGAGAGAAGCCTTACAGTTGTGACCAGTGTAAAAAGAAGTTCGCAGAAAGGTCAAACTTAATTAAACATCTTCGGATTCACAGCAGACGATAGCCATTATGTCCAGCGAAATTCAATCGAAGCAAGGTTTTAAAGTAAATAAAAATATTCGCACTTAAAAATTTTGAAGGAATATTACTTTTAATTTTTATTCATGTAGAATAATCGAAAGATGTAAGCGAAATTGATTTTCAAAGTAAAATGATGATGTTTTTCTAATTTCTGAAAGATTTTAACTAAAAAATCATTTCATTTAATATTCAATATATAAATAAAATGTTATGTAAAATTTTCTTGAACAGAGAATTGTTCTATAGACACTTACCCGTATTAATTACAGTTAATATTAATTTATTCGGTCAGTAATTAGGACAGTGCATATTTTGCTGTAATTCATAATACAGGAAATTCTTGTGTATTCAAACTTTACTATTTGTTCAGGCACAGATGTACAAATTTACATGTTAAGGTATTTGGTTAGTTTGAAATTGGAATTGACAATTTTGTTCAAACTGCGATAAGCCGATGTTAACTTGTTTGTTTACATGAATGTGCTTCCAAAACAGAAGTAATTCGTTATGTCAGTTTTGTTAAATTACTAACAGATGAGCCCAGCGTTACTGGGGCAAAAGGTAACGATAGCAAAAAATTAAGATTTAGCCCATCTTACCGTTTTAACCTGGTGCAAGAATTAGGTCCACCTCTTCCAAGACTAATTAGAGAATTTTTGATGGGTCTGAATATATGTTCAATTTCTCTCAAAATGCAAAAAATATCATATATAGTATTGTACACACTAGAACCCGATTTCTTTAGGGTAAGCCTTAATCCTCTCTCTCTCTCTCTCTTTCTCTGCCGCAGAGGAAATTTCCAAAAATCGCTTTTTTGTGTACATTCTCATGACATACCCTAAGTGTGTACCAATTTCAACTTTTAACTGTTTGGGCTCTGTGCTTATTACCATTATATAAAAGAAATTAATATTCGTAATTGGCATGCGTCAGAAAAACTAGCGGCGACTTCTGTAAATGACACTTCAGCGAGAGTGTTCGCTGAAACCTGGAAAAGCCGACAGTCCACGTAATTAATCTAATGGTAGTGATCTGCTCTACTTTTTCTGAACTCAATATTATAGTAAGACAGTAATTTATAGTAAATTGGTCTTTTATAAAATTCGCAGTAGTTTGTGAAGCTTGAATTCGAATTTAATAAGTATTATTTTATTCGGAAACATTAAAAAATACATCAATAACTAAGAGAACACCATAAATATTTATTTTTTACTATAAAACATTTTACAAAATCAAAAGTACGTATATCGTAATATCACGAATAAACTAGAACGAAACATAAAAAGTGAACAAATATACATAAATATAATTAAATATGCAACTGTTCAAACGCTTGCCTTTCCTCCATCAAACATAATTTGGAAACTTCAATTAATCCTGTAAATATTTTAAAAGCCATTATTATTCCAATGATATTATATCAATCCTGAATTTTATATAATTTCTAACTGTGATTATAAAATTATCTGAAAAATATTTTCGACTCAGACACTACGCCATTATAATCAAAACAAATTGATAAAGCAAATTTTTCTAATATCCTTAAATCGAGTAATACTACTTTACTAATTCCTCTCGCCGCATCCTACTTATACCTTCTCTATTCACCTACATTTAATTTCATGTAATTATATCTAAAATGTAACAAAATCTAATTACGAATTAATTTGCTAATGAACACACTACTTGCTATTAGAACTTTATATTCTTACTAGCGGACCCGACAGACGTTGTCCTGTCTACACGTCTTTAATTTGAAAATTTTAAACTTTATGTAATAAGCTAAAACATTCTGGACCATTTTGATGAAAATTATTATTCAAATGTTATGACAATATCTAACGTCATTACATGTAAATTTATTACAATTAGACTAATCGATAGCGTGTGAGTATGTGTAATGAAATCTTCAACTTTTTTTTAATTAAAGGTAAAAAAGCTTACACTCAAACTATTTTATTTAAAAAATATATTTTTTTATTTACAAAAACTTAATTTATCGTAATGCCATTGGATGTACAATATTTTTGGTTAAACCCTGAGGTGTATAAATAAATAAATTCGATGGTTTTCCAACTCTGGAACACGCAACATATAATTGGCCGTGAGAAAAACATGGGTTTTCTAAATCTAAGCCACAAATTGTCATTGTTTGGCCTTGTGACTTATTTATAGTCATAGCATATGCTAAGCGGATTGGAAATTGTAAACGTTTGAATGGTATAATCGAATCTGAAGGAATCATTGGGATCCGTGGTAAAAGTACAACTTCACCTTGAAATTTTCCACTCAAAATAGTGGCTTCAAGAATGTTGCCCATGATTTTTTTTACAACTAATCGTGTGCCATTACACAATTTTGGGGCATTTAAATTTCGAAGCAAAATTATAGGTGAGCCAATTTTAAGTCGCAAATTATGTGGTGGCATTCCAGGTAAATCTAGTGAATTTAGAAACTCTACAGGATAGTTGACAACTTCTTCAGGATCAACAACAGTGTCAATCGATTTAAATGTAATTTCATCACCAGGCAATGACTGTTGTATTTTAAAATTGATGGCGTCAACATCTAAATTTTTTGCGGCTAAAATAGCTCGCTCTCGCAGCCATTCATGATTAGTATAATTATGTCTTAAATCTGGAAAGATACTTGTTATTAACTCATCTTTGGTAGCCACCATGTTGCAAAAATTCTCTGGAAGTCGAATATACAACCAGCGTACCTAATAGAAACCGCTAAATTGAAAACGCCACCACTCAACGACATCAAAAAAATAAAAATGACAATACTACGTAAGACGAGATCTATTACCCCCTACCCCTGATTAAAAAATCGTAAGAAATCCTTGACCCCACCCACCCCAAAATATCTTAAGTAATTTATGGACGACCCTTAACGTGTAAATTTGTATATCCGCGGCCGAAACAAATAGTATAGTTCGAATATACGAGGATTTCCTATACATATTACGAATTAGCGCCAAATATGCACTGTCCTAATTACTGATGAATAAATTGATATTAACTGTAATTAACACGGGCAAGTATATTCCTTATTCAAAAAAATTTTACATAACATTTTAATTATATATTGAATATTGTAATGCTTTTTTTCACTTGAAATTTTTCTAAAATTGGAAAAACATTTTAATTTAATACCAGTTGTGCTTGCATCTTTCGATCATTTTACATCAATAGAAATTAAAAATAACATTTCTTCAAAATTTCCAACTGTGAACATTTTTATTTGCTTTTAAATCTCGGCTTCGAATGTACTGTATTTTACTGGACATAATTAACATTCATATGTCTTTTCGTCTGTTGTGGATCTGAAGGTGTCTAATAAGGTTTGATTTTTGTGTAAATTTCTGTTTACACTCGTCACAACTATAAGGCTTTTCTCCAGTGTGGATACGAAAGTGATTAATTAAGCTTGATTTTTGTGAAAACTTCTGTTTACACTCCTCACAACTGTAAGGCTTATCTCCAGTGTGAACACGAAGGTGTGAAATTAAGTTTGACCTTTCTGCAAACTTCTTTTTACACTGGTCACAACTGTAAGGCTTTTCTCCAGTGTGGATCCGAAGGTGTGCAATTAAAGGCTCCTTTCGTGAAAATTTCTGTTTACACTCGTCACAAATGTATGGCTTTTCTCCTGTGTGGATTATTTCATGCCTTTGCAAACTTTGTTTAGTTTTGAAATTCTTCTTACATTGTTTACATGAATATTTTTTTTGGTTCCATTTCTCTGCNTTGAAGAAATATTTTATCCTCAAGATTTATGCAGCAAGATCCAAGCTCATTGTTTCTCAATTCGGTTTCGACTGAAGTCACCGTAAAGAAAGCAAGCAACATAAACATAACGGAAACTTCTATATCTCAGAAAATGTAGGATCAACTATAACATTTTTAATAGTTGAAACTGGCACCAAAAGTTTGATGTATCAGTTAGAATCAGTGGCGTAGCTTGGGTGTCAGCTGCTCAGGGCGGAGGAAAATTTCGCTATCCCCTTATTTAGGTATTTCAATTTAAAAGACTATAATTCAGTTTCGTCACAGAATAAGTAATGAAAAATTCCGTGCTAATGTTGCCACCTTTTTAAAATCACTGACCGGACGGCAGGTGAGGTTTGTTGGAACAGAAGTTCCTGACGCACGAGTATGTCATTTCGCAATGCGAAGAATAATGTGCAGTGCATGCCGGTTCTAAATCAGTTACAGTTAGCAACTAGGGAGACTTGGATAGGAGTAATGCAAGTGACCTAGCTCTATTGGATATTGGAGGTGTATATACATACGAATAAATCGAACAAGCAAAAACAAAATAAATAAATAAATAAACAACGTCGACAGGTTGCACACGATATCCCCGGACAGCGAGTCGATTCCCGGACTGTTCGGATGGTAACACTACTCCGTGCTTATTTCAATCGCTCCAAATCGAGGTGGGCAAAAATATGAAATAAAATGATTCAAATTCTTACAAGATATTATTATTACTTATTGTGAAATTTTGCCGCACCCTAAAAAGTGCTGCCCGGGGCGAACCGCCCCTGCCGCCTCCCCTACACTACGCTACTGGTTAGAATATTAATTAAATGGAAAAAGACTGTCCAGTCTACTGTCTACTAGATGCCGCCATTGGCTCTGTATTTCTCCTATTTTGGATTGATCAGTTAGAGTTCCGGAGAGATCAAAGTAAACGACAAATAGGACTTAAGCAAATACTAGGAAATAAACCTATTGACAATAAAATAAGTTGGATGGTTTTCAGTAGCGTGCTGTCATTGGAAGCGCCCCTTCCCTTGTATTTTCTAGAAAATAAATACATATTGTGTGTTTAGTTTCATATAATTAAAATTTATATTTTATTATAGCCGCATTATATATATTATTNTTGTGCTTGCATCTTTCGATCATTTTACATCAATAGAAATTAAAAATAACATTTCTTCAAAATTTCCAACTGTGAACATTTTTATTTGCTTTTAAATCTCGGCTTCGAATGTACTGTATTTTACTGGACATAATTAACATTCATATGTCTTTCGTCTGTTGTGGATCTGAAGGTGTCTAATAAGGTTTGATTTTTGTGTAAATTTCTGTTTACACTCGTCACAACTATAAGGCTTTTCTCCAGTGTGGATACGAAAGTGATTAATTAAGCTTGATTTTTGTGAAAACTTCTGTTTACACTCCTCACAACTGTAAGGCTTATCTCCAGTGTGAACACGAAGGTGTGAAATTAAGTTTGACCTTTCTGCAAACTTCTTTTTACACTGGTCACAACTGTAAGGCTTTTCTCCAGTGTGGATCCGAAGGTGTGCAATTAAAGGCTCCTTTCGTGAAAATTTCTGTTTACACTCGTCACAAATGTATGGCTTTTCTCCTGTGTGGATTATTTCATGCCTTTGCAAACTTTGTTTAGTTTTGAAATTCTTCTTACATTGTTTACATGAATANTAAGTAATGAAAAATTCCGTGCTAATGTTGCCACCTTTTTAAAATCACTGACCGGACGGCAGGTGAGGTTTGTTGGAACAGAAGTTCCTGACGCACGAGTATGTCATTTCGCAATGCGAAGAATAATGTGCAGTGCATGCCGGTTCTAAATCAGTTACAGTTAGCAACTAGGGAGACTTGGATAGGAGTAATGCAAGTGACCTAGCTCTATTGGATATTGGAGGTGTATATACATACGAATAAATCGAACAAGCAAAAACAAAATAAATAAATAAATAAACAACGTCGACAGGTTGCACACGATATCCCCGGACAGCGAGTCGATTCCCGGACTGTTCGGATGGTAACACTACTCCGTGCTCATTTCAATCGCTCCAAATCGAGGTGGGCAAAAATATGAAATAAAATGATTCAAATTCTTACAAGATATTATTATTACTTATTGTGAAATTTTGCCGCACCCTAAAAAGTGCTGCCCGGGGCGAACCGCCCCTGCCGCCTCCCCTACACTACGCTACTGGTTAGAATATTAATTAAATGGAAAAAGACTGTCCAGTCTACTGTCTACTAGATGCCGCCATTGGCTCTGTATTTCTCCTATTTTGGATTGATCAGTCAGAGTTCCGGAGAGATCAAAGTAAACGACAAATAGGACTTAAGCAAATACTAGGAAATAAACCTATTGACAATAAAATAAGTTGGATGGTTTTCAGTAGCGTGCTGTCATTGGAAGCGCCCCTTCCCTTGTATTTTCTAGAAAATAAATACATATTGTGTGTTTAGTTTCATATAATTAAAATTTATATTTTATTATAGCCGCATTATATATATTATTACAAATTTCTATACTGCACGTGAAAAAACGATAAGATTGCTATTGTATATTCGAATATTAGTGGCGGAATGGAAGTACATTATTATCAGCTTTCAAACAGCCAGATTCGCACATGCGCTTTACAGAGCACCAACCTCACTCAGTTTAGTTGGTGGAAGCCTAGGACCTAAGGTGGATGCTACACGTATACCGCATCCGATTCTATCGAGGACCGGTTCTGGTCTGTTAGACGCCTGCCCGCTAGATATTTGGCCACCCTCGCCCGATTACATAAATCGCGAGTAGATTTATAACTTAACCCAACCGATAAGAATTTACTGGTATGTTTTTACGATAATTCCGTATAGTTGATAGGAGTTTTAAAAAATCCATTAAAATATTTGATATTTTTATCTTGCTCTCCGATCTTATATTACTCACGGATTTCAATGTTAAATCAGTGATATTACGATTTCGTGTGTCCTGTCTATAAGGGGATGTAGAAAAAAACATGTACAATTCTTGTACAATGTTAAAAAATTAACTGTTACTTTGACAGCGTCATTTACAACTAAATTTAATGAATGAGAGATGCACGAGATACAGAAAAAGCTCTAGAATTTATTTTCCTTACATTTACGATTTATGTATCCGTTTGTCATAAAAATTTGTCTTTCTACTTTTTTCCCGAGACTACAAATATTCGAGTACAAAGTAACCGGTTTCGACTTATTTCTACTTAAGAAGTAGTTAAATAATTAAGCGATTGGGGAATTAGGGACATAAATAAAACCCTGCTGAAAGAGCCGGAATTTTACTTAAAAGCTTAACCGAACCAATCTCTAGCCGGGTACAGTGGGGACTGATTTCTCGTTTTAATAAATCTTTTGGTGTTTATAACTGTTATTTTACATCCGATATGACAAAATATTATTCAATAAGTCGATTTAAATTTTTTTGGCTGCAATTTGAAAAGTTGGGATCAGATACGGAAATGTAAATGAACATTTACATTTTTATTTATATAGATTTGTATTATAATTTAAATTGACCAATCGTAAAGTGTAATATGGTTATNTAACAAAATTATTCACCATATACAGAAATTTAACTTGGTTACTTTACAACAATATTTAATTATTCATGCATTTTATGTTCTTTGGGCAACATTTACATTTTTATCAATACAATATCTTTTACAGTGACATATTATAAACCCTTTGTGAAATTCGAAGTTTATTTAATTTCGTAAAAGAATTTAATCCTGTACCTACAGAAATGAACTATAGAGTTCGTGGGAATTTTATAATCCTTCCTGTCCAAACATAAACATTCTCACGATGAAACTGTGTATAGTTTACACTTACCGGCCAAATTCGTCATTTTGTTATTTTAACAGCAACTTTAACTTTCAACAATCGGTCTCGTGATATATTTTCCCACCACGAAGGTATAAAAGCCAGTCTTCCCCTCAGAGGAGTCGCTGATCGGGAGTCGAAACGTCGAAGGCGGCATTGTATTTTCCACTGCCACTCTTTACGACACCAACCATAGGACCTTGTACTACAACCCGAACCACTGTTGAAAAGATCTTAGAGAAAAATATCACACCGATATTGTTCAATAGATATGAAAGCATTGTTGTAAACCCTCTCTCAGCTCTTCGCGCATTAGAAAAATAGAGTATTACGGACAGAGCCGTAACTAGGCAGGTGCAACAGGTGCACCCGCACAGGGCCCACTTGGAAGAGGGGCCCAAACTGCTGTTCACAAAAAATTATATTTTTTATTTTATTTTTGTTACAAAATGTTAATTTTGTAACAAAAATAAATCTGCCCGAGGATTTTTTTAAAATTACTAAATTGAAAACGGTAACTCCCGAATAAAATCTTAGGCTCCAGGTTGTAAAAGGCGTGCAGAAATTCTGACATCATNTGAGAAAAACATGGGTTTTCTAAATCTAAGCCACAAATTGTCATTGTTTGGCCTTGTGACTTATTTATAGTCATAGCATATGCTAAGCGGATTGGAAATTGTAAACGTTTGAATGGTATAATCGAATCTGAAGGAATCATTGGGATCCGTGGTAAAAGTACAACTTCACCTTGAAATTTTCCACTCAAAATAGTGGCTTCAAGAATGTTGCCCATGATTTTTTTTACAACTAATCGTGTGCCATTACACAATTTTGGGGCATTTAAATTTCGAAGCAAAATTATAGGTGAGCCAATTTTAAGTCGCAAATTATGTGGTGGCATTCCAGGTAAATCTAGTGAATTTAGAAACTCTACAGGATAGTTGACAACTTCTTCAGGATCAACAACAGTGTCAATCGATTTAAATGTAATTTCATCACCAGGCAATGACTGTTGTATTTTAAAATTGATGGCGTCAACATCTAAATTTTTTGCGGCTAAAATAGCTCGCTCTCGCAGCCATTCATGATTAGTATAATTATGTCTTAAATCTGGAAAGATACTTGTTATTAACTCATCTTTGGTAGCCACCATGTTGCAAAAATTCTCTGGAAGTCGAATATATTGTGTATCTTCATACAATTGAATTTTTCCGTTGCCAATGTCTAACAATTGTTCAGAGAATCCTGACGCTAATGGATCATTTTGAAGTCGAACGCGCACATTAATAGTAAGGCATAATTTAGTGACACTTGACCATAGATAAGATTCTTTCAAACATGCGTTTATTTCATCTGCATATGTCGCGCGTGGAATGACTGGTAATGTTTGTCTGAAATCACCAGACAGCAGCAGTAGAGCACCACCGAAAAGCCGAGCATTATTTTTGATATCTTTCAGGGACCTGTCGAGAGCTTCAAGCGAATGCTTGTGGGCCATTGTACATTCATCCCAGATAATAATTTTACATTTTCTCAAAACTTCAGCCATGCCTGAATGCTTCTTTATGTTACACATAGCTTCGGGATTTGTATGAACGTTCAAAGGTAATTTAAGTGCTGAATGCGCAGTCCGTCCACCATCAAGTAACGTTGCTGCAATGCCTGATGAAGCAATGGCCAATGCAATATGATTTTGAGATCGAATCCGCGCAAGTATCAGTGCGATAATAAATGTTTTACCAGTGCCACCTGGAGCGTCTAAAAAAAAGAATCCACCTTGTTGTGTTGCAATTGAAACGTTAATTTGATCATATACATTTCGTNTTTTGTAACAAAAATAAATCTGCCCGAGGATTTTTTTAAAATTACTAAATTGAAAACGGTAACTCCCGAATAAAATCTTAGGCTCCAGGTTGTAAAAGGCGTGCAGAAATTCTGACATCATTTTTTGTTTTATAGTGGTACGCATATGTGGTGTCAGTCGCGTACCGTAGTGGGGGCGGCAGGGGCGTCCAGCCCCGGGCGGCACTTTTTAGGGGGCGGCAAAATTGCACAATAAATAATAATAATATCTTGTAAAAATTTGAAACATCCTAACCTATAATTGCATCGCGCCTACGACAGTGCTATCGTCCGGACAGTCCAGGAATCGGCTCCTGGTCCAGATGAACTGGTAATTTTTAATCCGATGAAATTCTGCGAAATCTGTTGACTTTTTTTCCTGTAAGATTCATTCGCGTTCATATACACCACTAATATCCAATAGAACTATTTTAAACAGGTCGCTGCACTAGCACAGAATTTCATTGCTTGTTCTTTGACAAAACTGAATTTTGGTCTTTTAAATTGAAATACCTAAATAAGGGGGGCCGAAATTTTCCTCCGCCCCGGGGGGCTGACACCCACGGTACGCCACTGTGTGGTGTATACCTGAACGACGGATTAAGCGGTAACCGAACTATGCGGGCGCGTAGTGCCCCGAAGGAGCTCCCGCAGTCTTTAAAATGCTACTGAAAAGAGGGATTGCGAAAACGCAGAAGATAGAAATAGTCCAAAAAAACGCTTCGATATATATAGATACATGGAAGTAATAAATGATATAGCTTTCTGGCCAACAATATTAACAGATGCTATTATTGATCATATTCTTAAAACAAACCAAAATGTATAGAAAAGGGATTTCTTAATAAACGAAAAAAAAAAAAAAAGTTAAGATTATGGAAATAGATAAAACACCAGATAAAGGAAGTAACTTGACACCTGAAAGATTATTTAAAATACAAATTTACAGTGTTCTTGACACTCTATTGTGTCAAATCGATTGGTGTTATGAAAAAATGAAAACTATCTGCGACAATTTTTGCTTTCACTGTGGCTCGTCTTTATAATGCATGAGTTTGCTGATTTAAAAAAATTTGGCTGCAGATCTCGCTATTAAATATAGAAAAATTTAAAAAAGTACGAACTCACAAGTGAAATTAAAAGTTTAAATTTTGAAACTTTCAATTTTACTTTTAATTTTTACTTTTTAATATTTGAAGTCGTTACTTCAAAACTTTTAATTTTGAAGTAACGACTCTTATACAAACTATAGAAACTGTATCTCCGCTTAATATTCTACAGGCATGATTTTGGTTTAATTGAGTCTTACCCAAATATCAATATCGCTCTTCGAATATTTCTAACTCCTCCCGTTTCTATTGCTTCGTGCGAGAGAAATTTTAGCAAGTTAAACTTAATAAAAAATTATTTAAGATCAACTATCAGACAAGAACGATTATCAATATTTCTATTATTTCAATAGAATACAATATCGTTAAAAATATTAATTATGATGGTGTAACTAATGAATTTTCTGAAATGAAAGCCAGAAACATTCAATTAAAATAAATCTTATTAAAAATCTATTGTAATGTATTTGTTTTATTATTTTCCCAAAACCAAATAAATTTAGGGGCCTAAATGCTTGCACAGGGCACAGGAATGGCTAGTTACATCTCTAATTACGGAAGGGATGTAACGTAGTTAAAGTTGAAACCTCTTTCTTTAGTTAATTTTAATAAACCTTTGTTTTGTTGTCAATGATGTCTTTACTGGACTGTTGCCTGCGTTTTACCGTCGAACCTCTCTGACTCTCCTCCACTCGCGTAACGCGTAACAGAACGTAACGCCATCCTTGACAAGAAAATAAGTCACCGATTTGTTGCCGGAAAGGACCCACCGACGACTTCCGACCTTCCCAGCGGCTCTTACCTTGCTTACTTCCAGATGTTAAGGCGGATTGTTATTTTATTGTTATTGTTATGCTGAAAGCCGAGTATTATTATAGTTGAGGGTGCGTTCTGAATGTTAATAAAGTTACTGTAGAAATTGTAAATTCATTACGAGCATAAAGTCAATCGAGAAGACTCCTTCTTTCCTAACTGATAGACACCTGATGTATTAATGCTCATAACAACAGCTAAAACATTTCTGAGAGCTACACGTCCCCTATCAATATTAGGCACCCTATTCAAAGCAATCGAACCAATTTCAACTGCAGAAAATTACCCTAAATTGAGAAAACTCTCCGAGCTCAAATAAAAAAAAAAATAAGACGAACGATTCTATGATGCAGATCACTGTACTGTTATTGTGAAATAATAATCAGAACAATTGGTATTGTTTTTGAAAATTTTATAACTAAAATGTCTTAGGATTTTTAGGCTTTATTAGAGGTATTAATTTACATCTCATATGGAGAGTGTCAATGGCTCAATGGTATGAAGGTTAAGAAAAGCGAAATCCTACTCGGGTGTAATATACAGTAATACCTCGGTTTTCGTTGACTTCGGTTACCATCGGTTTCAGATTTTGCCGATTGTTTTCGGACGGATTATCGACGAAAACCGAAGTATAACTGTACAGTGTACACCGTGTACTGTACAGTGATACTTCGGATACATCAATCTGCATTATTTCTTTAGCTTCCGTTGTCCTATCCTAAAACTCTCCAGTTATAGGGAAAAACAGGATGGTTTTAGGCTAACACTTTTTCCAGCGAAATTTGTGGAGCGATGAGTAATAGCATCAGAACACAGAGTAGTTCTACCCTAGATTAACCTTAAATACAAGACTACCCGAAACATTACTCTGAGAGGTTGAAATTACTCTAGAAAAAGATAATTACCCTAGAAACGGCAGAACTGGTCAAGAATGAACACAATACGAACACTACATAAAACGCGCCCTCCTAGACCCTGTGAAGTGGTAGTATTTAGATCAGACTACCCTCTGTTCTCACTGTTACATTTGTAAACCTTAGTATTTTGTCTCTGATAAAATGCGGTTATACCTAAAAAACGATGGTTATTTTCTACAAAAGATAACTGTCGTGTATTAAGTCTTGTAGTTTTTTTAATTTTTAAAAAAGGTTTTTAAAAAATTGATTAAAAAAATATATATAAAAAAATTAAAAATTACCGAGATAATACTTTAAAAAGTTATTATAACCTATTTTAACAATTACGAGCCGTTTAAATAATTTTAAAAGTTCAGCTTGTAAACATAAACGTGTTTCTAACTGGTACTTAGATACTTTACACGACATTTAGTGAGTCTATCCGTAGTCACGTGGTTTTGAGGGAACGAAAGGTGACGTTCATTTTCTACCGAAAACTGAAGTTTAGAAGATATTTTCGTGTTCTATTTAACAAGTCCTATGCTTTTTGTAGAAAATTTTTAAAATTTTGCGGTTAGGTTTCTTTATTAGAAACAATCAGGCTATTAAATTTTGGTGATTAAAAGTCGAAAAATGGCGAGATAATTTTATAAATCTGTTGTTGATAGTTTTTCCACCAGAAAACGTCTAATGTCTTAAGCATTTCCAGGTAATTTGCCCTTGTACAGTACATTATACTTTTTCTGATAGAAACTTAGTCAATAACTCGTTTTCAAAAAAATTTAAAACTGAAATAACGTAATTATTATAAAAATTGCTTTTTGCCTTTGGTATAACTAAATTAAATAAACTATCTGCATCACTTTTGTAGGTATTTAATTTAATTTAATAAAATAACGTAACTTCTGGTTTAAAGCGAAAGGTCGTATATAACCTAGATCATCTACCTACTGCCACTACGCTTTCCGGACTAAACACCGAAATATTTAGGCAGCGTTTCTCTGTCAAAAAATGAGGCAAATTATAAACGTGCTCATAAAGTCCCATAATATGTATATATATAAAACACATAATGTCAGTATCATGTATGCCTGAAGATTTTCTTTCATAATATATCATTACGCTCGTAGGTTACTATCGTTCGAAGTTTTTTTGATCGACTAGTTTGTGCACGTGTAAACAGAAACGTCATACAAAATGAAACAAGAGACAATAGAAACCACATTCCGTTGCCATATTAATTACATCTTAGATAAAGTCAATAAAATACATAAACTACCTGCTTCTAAAATGTGCTAGGTGCACTTGGGGAATAAATCATAAAGCTTGTAAACTTCTATATAATGAGGCAATACAACCAACGCTACTTTACGCGGCTTCTAGCTGGGGTCATGTAACTAAAATTCAGTAGCAAGTAAATTATTCTCTCTTCAAAGCATTTGGTGCCATCAGAATTTCGAAGTGCTGCAGAACTGTTTCTATTAATGACTCTGATAATAGCAGAGATCCTTCTTTTGCACTATGAATTGTAAGAAATGGTTCTAAATTACTACATCAGAATTACAAATGTCAAGACTCAAACAACAGTCTCTACTCCTATCTACGGTTGTTCATATGCTACCACATTGCAATTACCCTACTATCTCTGATCATCATCCTGTAAACAAGGTTATTTGGTGTCATCCGCTTCCTCCATGGATAATCATGCATGCATTAATATCTACACAGATGGGTCCAAAAGCTTCTTTCTGTCGGCTCAAAAGTCTGTATCTTCCTCCAAACTGACATATTTTGCCAAAAATACGTTAGAAGGTACAGGTACAGTACCTCCCTCATACCTCCATCTATCATGCTGAAGAAGATTCTGACTACCAAGCTGTTCAGTGGACCACTTCACTACCAAACGAAACTCTGTCTATCAACATTTATAGTGATTCTCAGTCTGTCCTAAAAGCTCTGTTAAATCCCAATTGCAATAGCAATAAAATCGCATATATCCAGCACCATATTAAAAATCTTCTAAATAAGATAGCTTTTATACATGTTCCTGGCCATACTGGCATACTAGGAAATGAAAAAGCTGACTTTGATGCTAAGTGAACTGCAAAGGACACTGATTCGGACTACACTCGCATCCCTCTCACAGCCTCAAAAATTATATTCGTGACAACGCTATGCAAAAGTGGAATCAGTAAAAGTAGTAGAGCAGTAAAACTGGTAGAATAACAAGACATTCTTAGTGTTGAATGCAGGTTCTCATCACTACTTAGAGATTTAACGTTTGCTATTGCTCAATTACTTACTGAATTTTAGAAGCTACCTGGCGATGTATATAACCGGGCAGAAACTGCTTCTTGCTTTTCCTCTACAGAAAACGTAGACACCGTCGACCATATGATCTATCATTGTCCAATTTACGATCAAAATAGACTTACTCCGAAATTAGAAATTTTTACGCTTGGTTTCAAGTGGCGACGTCCACTCGATAAGCTTGTTCAGAAGCCACTGTTTGATGCTTTTTACAATTATGATAACAATATATGAAAGAAAAGACTACAGTATTTCTAATTTCTAGTTTTACATTTTCGTTTTCACTAAAAGCCGAATACTAATTTTATGTTTACTTTGTTTCATGTATTCTTAGTGTTGTACATCCATAGGAGTGGTGCACTTATTCTAGTAAAAAATAAGAGAGAAAAACCACCACATGTCCTTTCTCCCATGACAAAAATAGTGTAGAGCGTGAATCTGCTAGCGTTATTACTTTATGACGTCACACGAGACAACCAGCGTTCCTAATAGAAACCGCCAAATTCAAAACGCCACCACTCAACGAGATAAAAAAATGAGAATACTACGTAAGACGAGATTTATTACCCCCTACCCCTGAGTAAGAAATCGTAAGAAATCCTTGACCCCACCCACCCCAAAATATCTTAAGTAATTTATGGACGACCCTTAACGTGTAAATTTGTATATCCGCAGCCGGAACAAATAGTATAGTTTGAATATACGAGGATTTCCTATATTACGAATTAGCGCGAAATATGCACTGTCCTAATTAATGGTTCCCAATTAGTGGTACGCGTACCCCCAGGGGTACGCGAAATTGCATGAAGGGGTAGGCGCGGCAATCTAAAATCGGTCGATTTAAAATTTAAATGCACGAGGTGAAGCGATCAAAAAAATACTGGGTGGACCATCAAAAAGTCGGCAATTTACAACACGATGTTGAATGCACAAATTCGTTTATTTATAACTAAAAATATTCTCGAAATTTCATCTAAAAAATGCTTTTGTGAAAAAATCTAAATGAAATTCTTACGCAAGAAACAAAAATTGTACAATTAACACAATTTGTGTTAATTTTACAATTATCATTATTATCATGTCAGCGAAGCGGCAATGAAATATTTATTACCATTTTGCACAACATACCTCTGCGAGAGCGGATTTTCGGCCATGACAAACACGAAAACTAAACATCGTCACCGACTTCAACTCGAAGATGACTCGAGACCGATGCTGACCAAAAAGCAACCAGATTTTATAAAGTTGTGCAAAGAAAATCGTGCACATTTGTCACATNTATCGTTAAAAATTATTTCTTTATTTTTTACAAACAACATAAATATATAGAAAACTATAAAAACAAAAAAAATTATATTTTAGAAGTTAATCTAGTATCAAAAACGTTCGATTCAGCACAATACACAGTCCTCAGAAAAAACATTACATAAAAGTGCCAGTGCTGCCAGCTAAAACACACACACCAACAAAAATATTGGAGTAGCCCAAGATATAGCCAAAGACTGCAGCGCCACAGCACTAGCGAAAATTTAAATTTGCCGACTGGAATGCTTTTGGTTAACCGGCGTTTCGGATAACCGGCCTTCGGATAAACGACGATCTATTGTATATGTATTCTTTTCTTTATATAAGATTTTTACATTAGCTTTATCTATATTACAGTTATTTAGTAGGCAATGATCATGAAAAACGGAATTTAATCTGTGATATTTCATATCTGCAATATGTTCTTTTAATCTTGTATTTACTTTACGTTTGGTTTAACCTATACAAATATTAGCATCTTTTACAAGTGCATGGGATCTCGTAGACCACATTCTTGGTTTCTTCTTTAGTCTCTTTACTTTGTTTTTTATTCTGCCTTGAAGTTTTTCGTATTGGTGCAAGTTTTATGTTTACTTTTCGCATTTGTTTGTTAATTTCTTCATATAAGCCTTTTATATACTGAAAACTAATGTATTTCATATCTGGGTTTTGTTTCTTCTGATCATGTTTCTTGTTAGTTATTTTATCATTTATTTTCTTTTCCCATGTACTAATTAATCGATTAGGGTATCCATCCAAAATAAATTTCTTTTTTAAGTCATATAGATGTTTGGCCATATTGGTGGGCTTGCTGGTTCTGGTTTTAATTTTATTATATTCCATATTAAAGATGTTTTGTTTTATATATAGTGGCATNGGGGCAATACAACCAACGCTACTTTACGCGGCCTCTAGCTGGGGTCATGTAACTAGTAAAAATTCAGTAGCAAGTAAATTACTCTCTCTTCAAAGCATTTGGTGCCATCAGAATTTCGAAGTGCTGCAGAACTGTTTCTATTAATGCCTCTGATACTAGCAGAACTTCTTTTGCACTATGAATTGTAAG